CACAAATCAAACGTGCGTACAGAATTTCAGCCTGTTTGTTTGAGGTTAAGCGGTTCAAAATTCAGTTCCAACAAAAGCTTGTAAACATTCGTAGTTCGCTATTTGATGACAAATTCCTTCTACGCACACTAAAGCTCATACAACTCAAAAACATAGTTGCGGCGGTCAGTCGCTCGCGTCGCTATTTTTTTCACCGTGTTCCCTCATTTTGTTGACTTCGGTCGTCGACGTTGAAATTATAATACGAGCTCACAGCAAAACGTCAATTAGGTAAACCATTACATTTATGTAATATGTATCTATATCTTAGTAACTTTTTTAGTTTGAATTGATATATTCGTACATGTTGTGCTTGCTATGGGGCTAAAAACGTTGATTTTTCCATTTTAGCTAAAATATCAGTAGTGTTCCTAGGAAAGCCAATAGTTCCTTGTTCGGCCAATGAAAAAAAATTACACTTGATTCGCTAAGGTGCAAAGGCCTTATAAGGAACATCTGACAATCACGCAAATAATCAATACTTGGTTATTCACTGAATTGTAGATTTCGAACGCCATCTGGAAAATTTTAGCCTTCCAAGAACGGGCCCGTATTAATGTTACTTTAGCCAGTTTGAAATTTCATTATAAAAGTTATTGGCACCTTATTAGATATCGATATAACACAAATTATTTTTAATACATTTTCACGAATGCAGTTTTAGTTTTACGACAGTGTGTAACCAATGTTCCTTGTATTTTTTATGAGAGAATATTATTGTATTTAATGTTCCATTTTAATGAACGATCTTTATATACAGGGTGGCGCATCGAAAACGAAAATGTTCATCGTTTATAATTCGTTCACTCATATCTTTACCTGGTGAATTTCATACAGATGAAAACTATCGGCCTTTAGAATCCGTTGGACAGTACGTCGACTAACACCACACACAATCTCCAATTTGCGGGTACTTAACGTAGGATCTACATAAACTTGCCCTAAAACCCCCACTTCTATTGCTTCGTTCCTTATGGGATTTTCAATGTTGCGTTTTTTATTGGCGACTGACCCAGTTTCCCGAAATTTAGCTACAAGTTCTAGAACATATTTTCGATGCACGTTACTGTTCTCATGTCGCTCATTAAATATTTCCTCTGTTCTATTAGCGCACTGATTATTTCCGATAATTTCAACTCTTTCTGCTGTGGAATATACCATGGTTAATTTATGTAATAAAGCATTACAAATTATTTTAGCAACAATGTTTGGTCAAATCAATCGCAAACTATGTACTAAATTCCTATTTAAAATAAGTACGAGTTATTTCCTTATATTTCTTCAAGAAATAACTTTTTGCCACAAAAAAACGCTCCAATGGCTATTGTTAGCAACAAAATGATAAACAAGTGAAGAAAAGTATTTACTTATTAAGTTAATTCTTTTAGTCAAATTTCTTCTGAAAGTAGTACAAACTAATCTGATGTACCTATTGAAGTCTACTTTAATCTTTAAATAAATAAATCTTTAAAACTACTGAACTGAAGCTCATGTATTTTACATCATTATAAAGGGAATTGAAAGACCTTTAAAATAAGGTATCACTCGACCCCCCTTTCTATTTAAGATTTTAGGGTTGGTGTCACCCCCGCCCAGGGGGCTGCACGTGTTAACGTGATTTTTGCCAAACTTGTGTCCCCCTCGAAAACAAAATCGACGGGTCTGAGCGTTTTTCCAAAAAAAAACCCGAGCTGCCAGTAAATGCGTCTGTTCCGTTTTCGATGCGCCACCCTGTATATTACTTATGTAGGATAGGTTAGGTTTTTTGTTAGTGGGTCAATCACGATCTTCCACTGCGACTCGCTGGTCTATTGGAGATGATACCTTTTTGAATTCCTCGCAGTAATTTTGACCTCTTGAGGCAGATGATCAACTTATTTGGAGAAATATAATTCAGGTATTCTACTAGTTTAAGTAATATAATTTAAGTTGTACGACTTATTTAGGATAGCGACCTTGTGCAGTGCAAGGCAGTTCGGAAGAGTTTGAAAAAACTTAATTTCAATAAACAATGAACGACTTGGCAACAAATAAAGTATTACTTGATCATTTCTTTTTGTTTGATTTATCCAATAAATAATGGAATAATAACGAATTATTCATTGAGGCCTTCCATGGCTCACCCACCTGACCTAATATATATTTATGAACGTAAAATTTACTCGCCAACTGCCTTATAATGATATAATCACAAAAATTTTAGAGCAATTTTCTTTTCAACTGTGACTAACATGTTTCTAATATTGCATTAATACTATATTAAGCCCCGACAGATTATTTTTTGGTGCCGCTTTATCGCATTTTTCACTATTTGAAGGCGTTATCGACATCCACATCCCTTACGATATCGTATCTTTCGTTATTTACCTTAACCAGAGTGCATTCTCTAGAAAAAAACTGTTATTTTTAGATAAAATGTTTATTTACTGCGTTTATTTCTGTATTCGGTCCATTCTGTGGGAATGTTTTATCCTGTATGTATTTACAGAAAGATTATTTGGTAAAACAAACTGTAAGAAATGGCCTTGAAGGGGCGTAGTTCATTGTTTATGCGTCAAAGGTTTAGGAAAATAAACCAGAAAAGATGTCGAGTTTTGCTGAATGTTTAGGAGATACGATTGTGAGCGGACATATTCGTACGCTGTATAAAAATAGACGTGAAGAATTATCGTTACAATAGCGGATTGAGGCAACAAAATTAAAAGACTTATGCAGTTCACAGGAAAAAAATGTATATTGTCTATTGACTTTCTCAACGTTATCGACAGGAAAGATATTTCTGAAAAATATCTCGAAGCCTTTATGACGTTTACAATTCTGAAATGTTGAAGCTTCCAACTCGTCTATGGGGCTGAACTCTTGATATGGATTTTTTATATGGAATGCAATAATAAGCACTAATTAAGACTGTCCATATTCCTAACTTCAACCCCTAATAATGAGCCATAATTATTATTCGAGTATGGCCAAATGTATCCAGCCTTTCTTTCTTTCTTTTGGTCCAGATCGAGTTCATCTCTAGGCTTGTGCATCTGTCGATATGCAGTAGAGGGTGTCCACCCCCGCTCGTGACTCACGAAGGGTAGTGAGGGGGTGAACCAGTGGCGTACTCAATGCTTTTACTTGGGGTGTTTTGCTCATTTGTTACTTCAGCAGCACACCTACCTGATGAAGATTTCTCTTATAAATAGTTTATTGGGTTTTTATACAAGGTGTCACAAAATAGGTGGGCACTCTCTAAAGACTAAGAAAAGCTAATATGGCAGGTTCCTGTAATTTTTTTTCAAAGGCACTTATATGGGGATACAGGTTCCAAGAAGAAAGTACATTTTTTTAGATGATTAAGTAATACGCCCTAAAATGCAAACTGTAAATCTTGAAAATGCATCTTCCAAATTACATGCATATTAGTGATGAATGAATGTTCCCAGCAACATAACATAAATAAGTAATTTACAGTGAGGAGGCTGCTGGATGTAGTAGTAGTAATGATTTATTGGTGTATGTACAGATACTGTTAGTAACCAACAAAAAAAATATACATTTAAATACAATGTACATTGTAAATAAGTTACACTTCAAGGTCATTAACTAAATTAAAATCACATCAAAATCATTGAACTTCCAAAGGCCACATATTAAAAGTATTTAGCACTATAATAACTATTTGTAGCACTATAAAAACTGCGTTGGAGCTGATGGAAGCTTATACATTGAAAATAAAATATAATAACACATACATAGTAGTAGTATTAAAAATTGAAAAATAGGGTAATTTGGATCGCTCTGGATGATAACATTCTTTTTTTATTGAGTAGTTTTTCATGTTTTACGGTGTATGCTCGGTGTATCCACTGGGTACCATAGCCATAGGTAGGGCTATGTGATATAACGAAAATAATAATAACAAATTATTAACATTAAACTTTATTGGAACAGAAATATTATAACAGATCAAACAGCACCACACAATAAACCAGATATCACGTTCATAAACAAAAAGCAAAAACTTATAGAGATATCAAACGCAGCAAATATAGAAAAGTGGAAATAGTATACCAATCATATTATCATCCACACGAGTTATTCCCCATAGCCTGCATGATGATAATGTTTGCTTACTTTCTACCTGGCAGTAATAAGTTTTTATGCTCCCTGGTGTTACGCACCTTGAGCTCTAATTTAACACCGCGGGCCATAATCGCTCACTTACTGCTCTAGGTACATAAATAACTATTATTTGGTGGTTCAGAAGATTGCACGGATTTGCAGGAACTTAAAAACGATAGGGTGATCTAGATGATCAGTTCGCATCCCCGAGTTATAGGAAACTCATATCTCATAATTGGTACGCCGCTGATATTGGCAAAGGGGTGGAGATGCCAAGGGAGATCGACCCTCCAGCAGCCATTTTAGATTTTATTGCCGTTCAATACTAAAACATATAACTGACGAGAGGGATGGAAAAACACGGGGGAAATGGAGTTGAAGGGAAATAACCCTCTGGCTATTTGGGATATCTCGGGCTTTATAGATGAAGGATTTTTTCGTATAATATTCCGACTGTAGAAAATACAGACATATTCTTTATTTGATCAATAACTTCATTTCGATAATTAGATTGTTCCCAAACAGGCTTGTATGTTTTGTCGTCACGTCGCGACTGAGAGCTGGAGTCCTCATTCCTGATTGTTCTAAAATTTATGTATTTTCATACGAAGGGTAGGGAAACCTCGATTAAAGATGGCCATACTTCTTATTATTGGTTATATTGTTTGATAGATGGAAAGTACAAACTTAAAATTTGGTATAGAGTGACTCCTTCATGTCTAGGTTGATTACCTTTAAAATTCAATGCGAGCAGCAAAATAGTTTTTTCAATAATTCTCATGTCATAAAAAGTGGCATTTGCCACCTCTCCTACAGTCTATAGGTCTGAAAGATTAACGAGGGGTTCTTCATCAGCTGTTAATCTTTCTTTGCTTGGTTCTACTGACTCTAGGTTTATCATCAGTTTTTCTTTTCTTGGTTTCTTTTTGTTCCTCGCCTTTTCCTACTTTTCTCTTTCTGAAGTTCTCCAGGCAGGACTCAATGTTTGATGTACAAGTCAACTCTGAAGCAACTGACCTGGACCGTCTTTTTGCAGCTTCAACCCTTAATCTAGGCACGGACGATATATCTGCTAGCATTTTACTGATAGGGGTTACGTCTGTTTCCAGATTTTGACAAGTCCCCTCTGGTTAAACGTTATTCTCGGCAAGGTTTTTAATAGCGGTTGAACTATTATCGTTGTCTTCATTTATCAAAGATGGCTCATCAACCTGGTCATCACCAATATTTTCTACGGTTCTATCTTGAACATCGGATAAGTTTTGAGTCCCAATTTGAACTGCAACGTCTGGTGTTTCAAATTGAACATCTGCTATAGCAAAAGCGTAGTCCGGTATGGCATCTGGATTATATGTGAAGATACCGGTACTTCTGAAACCACTAACAGCATTATAAATAGTTGCAGATTTTTCCCAGGTATCAGATAATAATTCTAAAAACTGGTATCGTGTTATACGCCTGCCAGGTTGACGCTTCAACCAAAGTCTGCAGTTGGAATAAAATTCATTTTTAACAGACTTGAAAACAGCCCTATCTAATGGCTGTAAGAAATGGGTGCAATGACTAGGAAAACATAGCAAAATTATGTCATTTTCTTCCTCATACTCCAGCATTTCAACGGAGGTAGAATGAGACGTATGTCCGTCTAGTAATAGAAGTGTCTTTCCTTCTGGTTTTCTGGGAAAGACGTGTTTCTTCAACCAAGACCAAAAAATTTGTGAATTCATGTATGCTGACTTCGGTGACATAAGCAGCTTACTCCCAGGGGGCAGGCTGTCTTCCAATTCTTTTTTGATATTCTTACCCTTCATAATGACTGCTGGGGGCAAGAATGTGCCTTCCGCATTGCAGCAGGCTACTAAGGTGATGGTTTCTCCCATCTCAGAAGAGGGGATGGCGGAAACACTTTTTGAATCTTTTTCAGCTAAAACTTTATCGGGGCGATTGTTCAGCTGGAGACCTGATTCATCCATATTAAATATATTCATCGGTTTGTCAAATAACTGATTTTCCTCCAAGACCTTTTGCAACAAATCAAAGTATTTTTTTACTACCTCACGGTTCATAGATTGACTTCTTGGTAGAGAAAGACCTGATTGCAGCCAGACGTGTCCAGCCATTTCGGTGTTAGGGATAAATTTGTGCCTAAGTCCCAATTGATGGTGTGCCAATACCGGTTGTTGAGAAATATAAAAATTTGGGCGTTATCTTTGATAACAAGCTTAAATTCCGAAGTCATGTGTCTAGGCTTCTACAAAAAGCCTATTTCAACCTTCGCAATATTTACAAAAGTAAAGATATTCTTAGTTTTAAGTTAAAAAAGGTTCTCTGCGAAGCACTGGTCTTGTGTCACCTTAACTATTGCAACTTTGTGTATGGTCCTTGCTTAGATGTATTTACTAAGGATAAACTCCAAAAAGTGCAGAATTCTTGCATACGACTTATTTACTAGCTTAGACGTCACGATCATGTCAGTCATAAACTTTCCGAACTGAAATGGTTGAATGTTTCCAATCGAGAAAAGCTGCATTTTGCTTGCTTTCTTCATAAATTGATTAAAACTAAAAGCCCTCCATATCTGTTTGAAAAATTAGCTCGTAGAAATCTGATTCACTCTCGTGCAACACGCTTTAATGTACTTTATGAAATACCTAAAATAACTAAAACCATGACTCAAAGCTCATTTTCCTATACATCAGTCAAACTTCTAAACCAATACAATATAGGTCAATTTGAAGATATGTCTCCTAATATGTTCAAACAAAAACTGAAACAACTGCTTCTGTGAAGTATAAGTTGTTTATTATTGCTTATTTTCTTTGTATACGTACATCTGTTGTTATTATTGTTCATTGTTGTTATGTAATATTCTAAAATTAATGTAAAACTTGTTTCTTGTCATATTACTTTTCTTTTTGGCTTGTTGTTACTTTTTACATGCTCGGTTAAGTTAACAGCATAGCTGGCCTTCGCCGAGTTTAAAATAAAGGCGTTTTTATTTATTTATTTATTTATTGATGAATTCGTAAGCGAGCCTGCGCACATCTTGTCTGGTTAAGGCAAATCTGCTTTTCTGTATATTTTTTTTATGTCTAACCAACCTCAACTCATTGGAAGTACCCAACAAAGAATCAGGGCCCAGCTTCCCTTTTTTATCGTTATCATGTTTAAGCCTTCTTTCCAAGGTCTTGCGAGGAATTTGAAATGATAAAGAAGCTCTTTTAACGGACATTAAACCATCTTTAACTTTGCTTATTTTGGATGACATGGGGGGTAGGGGAGTCTAGATGATGATTACGTCATCGGTAGTTATTTACTTTTTTACACGAATGGCAACCCTCACATTGTCTTTGCTTGAAAACGAAACGCATTTTCGGGGATTCCCGCAAATAATGCATACGTTTAGTGAACAGCGCGCGGGAATTACCGCGCGGTGTTCACTTGTCTAAATTTCCTCTATCAGTGTATTGTTTCGTTTGGATACTATAGCGAGTAGACGTATTCTAAGCATAGTAAAGCAAGGTAACATTTGTGTTACCATTGATTCCATTAGCCAAAGTTTAATGTTTAAATAAGATGTCGTTTCACATAGTTATACCAAAAATTGTTTGAAAGTTTTAAAAAATCTCATACAAGTACGAAAGTACAAAATGTACAAAAGTTAGTTAACGAAGTGTGGCGAAATTAGAAATTACAAGCAAAATCCGACAAGGAACTAGATATTATTGTATCTAAAAGAATCGGAGAAGAATTGCAAGCGGCGACTAAGAATAAATCCAGTCTACTAAATTTTTTTTCTAAGGTGAGTGACGAAATCATTTTAGGCACCTATGAGTACTAGAAATATTAGAAATCGCCAAAAAGTTTCTCTTTACTGATTAGAAAATATTATAACCTATTTCAAAGTATAGCGGTAATATTCATTATATTATAGATTTATTTCTTATGATTGATTCCGTCAAATGGTCACAGAGTACAGGATGTTAGTTTTACACATATACCTGTATACAGAAAACTAACACGCTGTATTTTGTGACCGGAACGAATTGCTCGTTTAAACATATTAGATTTAAAGCCATAGGGTTTTGTATTTACCATATATATTGCCATACTTTGTATCTATGTAGCTTAATAAGAGAATCTTTAGCAGAAGCCATAGAAAGTTTTTATTTTTAGGCAACCTGTAAACCTGCAGAAAAAACACAAATTATACAGTCAGCTTCAAATATTAAAAAAGAGGAAGAAGATAAAATAAAACCCGATAATGAATCACAACAGCAATGAGAAATTAATGAAAATACAGATAAACAGAGAGCAAAACCTTCTCAGGAAGCTATGAAAAATAAGATTACTCTACTCGAAAAATATCTGAATGCTTTGTATTCTGCCAGAGATACTATGCCAAGCCATGCTAAAGTTGATAAACAGATCATTAGGTTGCGCGAGGAAATAAAAACAGCAAAACGGTCTTTAAACAGGAAGGTTCAAAACGCAGTTGCCCAGAAGAAACACAGGGATGGTATGAAAATAAAGTTAGAAGATATTTGTCATGAAAATCCAGAAATAAAAAGACTATCTCTGAGGAATTAAGTGGGACGTCCTAATCTTGAAAGCAATCAACATTCACTATTGAAAACAATCGCGGATATAGCTTTATTTGGGAGTGCAGCAGATGATAGAAGACGATCGGAATCAATTCGCAGCGTAAAAACTCTTGATGAACTCACACAAGAATTACGTAAAATAGGATTTGACATTAGTCACAGTGGGACATATCTTCGTTTGATTCCCAGAAAATCTAATTCTGCAGAAGGACGAAGGCATGTATCGACAGTCCCTGTTAAGCTTATTCGGGCTCAAACTGATCACCATAAGAGCCACTTAGATAGCAGGTTCGCTGAAACATCAATCCATTATTTACAGAACATAGCATCCATACTTGGACCAGATCAAGTATTTTTCATATCTCAAGATGATAAAGCTCGAATCCCTATTGGCGTAACTGCGGCAAATAAGCAAGCACCTCTTCCAACGCACATGGAATATAGAATCAAATTGCCTGATCACGATTGGGTAATCGCTGAGCGTCATAAATTAATACCATCTGTTTATGCTGGTATCAAAATCACTTCCAATATGCTAGGACAACTGCAAGCCGTTGGATATTCTGGACCAACATACATCGCTATTCGAAGTGGAAAGCATAGTTCATCTACTGCTAATACTCATGCTCAGGATTTCGAGACGCTTCTTGAACCTGAAGAGTTTCGACCATTAGCTAAAACTGACTATGGACTAGTAAAACCAGAGGTAATCATGACGGTTGATGGAGGGCCAGATGAAAATCCACGTTATCAAAAAGTCATAGGGTTTGCTATAACTTTAAGCGACATGATCTCGATGCATTGTTTTTAGCTACCAATGCTCCTGGAAGAAGTGCGTATAACAGAGTATAGCGCAGAATGGCTCCTCTTAGTCGGGATCTGGCTGGTTTAATATTGCCTCATGACCATTTTGGGTCTCATTTGGATGAACGTGGCCTTACAATTGATGAACATTTAGAAAGATCTAATTTCGAATTTGCAGGAAATGTTTTAGCTGAAGTATGGAGTTCAATGGAAATTGATGGCTATAATGTTAATGCAAAATATGTTGGGGCAAGTGAACAAGATCTTCCTGATTTTCCAGACATTAAATGGCATTGAGAACATGTGCGTGAGAGCCAATACTTGCTTCAAATTATAAAATGTAGAAATACAGAATGCTGTCGTCCAAGAAGTGGCCTATTTAGATTTAGGTTTCTTCCACCACCTGTAAAAGTAAAACAAACAGTTGATGACTTGCTTTTGGATGAAGGAATGCAATTTCTTAATCTTCCAGTCAATTTAGCTCTAAGCTTAAGTGCTTCACTCAAAGATTTCCTGCAAATGCCCTACGATTATTTTTGTCCGACGATAAAATTGAGGCTATCAAGTCGAACATGCAAAACGTGTGGTCTTTATCATGCTTCCGTCAAGTCACTAAATCGTCACATCGAAAATATCCATAAAAAAGTAAACACGCACACTGATAGGAAAGTTAGACCTGTAAGGGTCGCTGCTCGTCGTGCTAATGAACTGATGTGCATTATTAAAAATTTATAGCACCATGATGTTG